ATTATATAAACAAATGTAGGTTGTTATTTTTGGTTCGTCCGGGGTTTCTCCCCTAAACTTTCTTATACCAGTATTTCTATTCATGGAAGAATCTGTGCCATACCATATGTGCAATATCGTTATTTTCCACATCCAGAGGAATCTGTGCGGTATCTGAATTTCCACATATGAATGAATCAACAGCACAATCCCTGTCGCTGCTGCAACACATCAAATTTGCCAGCTGTGGCATCAATGAAGGCTGGAATTCGGCCGTTGCCATCTTGGTTTTTAGAACGTCATGAACAAGAATGTTGTTGATTGAATGTTTGACTGAGAGCTCATGGGCGCTGGAGTAGGACTTTATCATTTACAAGGCAGCCCCGGCCTGAATCACACCCTGCTTTATCGTCTGTTTTACTCTGAATGGATTCATAGTTTACAAGCTGCTGTAGTGAAGGAGATGTGAAACTAGTGTTTGAGACCACGAATCCATTCGGAAAATGTTCACAGAGGTAATAAATCAAGTGAGAATTCAGCTCATAGACTTCTATACAGTCTGAAGGAGTCGCCCCCTGCTGGCTGTTAGACAGAATGCACTCCCATGTTTACAGTCTGTGGTTTGTCTGGTTCTCCTGTGATTATTTTGCTCAAATCAACATATTTTTCTTTCCTAAATGAGTTGAGCGACTAATTCTTGAAACTCTGAGCAAATGAAAGAAGTTTTAGTCAGTTTAACCCCTTAAACTATAAACACTTTCTAAAAAACCTGAAAAAAACACCCACAAACTTGGTCAGTAATCGCTGCAAAGAGACGCTTTGTCAGCAGACCAGAGTGGAAGCTGCAAAAGTTGAGCAAAAAATAGTGATTTCTACTTGCACCTGGTTAAAAAACTGTAAATGGGAGAGTAAATAACAGCCTCATAACAGTGAGTCACTGAACACTGACGTTACCGAACCTGTTCTGAACACTCTTAACTGCACTTTTGCCAAATCTGAGGCAAAACAAACGAAGCACAACGATCCTTTTGTCTGTTTTAGTCACAGCAGAACCAAATGTCGCTCTGCTCAAAATGTCCTTTAATACCAGAAACATGTCATCCCCGGGAAAAGGTTAAATAACTTATTAAACTTCCTGTTTTATTTCCTTAAAACGTCACAACTTTTCCACATTTTCACACCAAGAAACGAGCAAACGGTTCAGCCGCAGGACGGCAAAGAAGAGACGGAGTGAGACTGAGAAGTCAGAGATCGTCTGATCCCCATTTTTAATCCAATAGTTTACTTGTTATCAAATCTGAATCAGCACACAGCAGCAACAATCTGTATTTGAGCTGAAATAGCCGTAACACACTGCCATTTGTCAGGTCGACAAAAAGTTGGTGCAATGAAATCAGATGTTTTCAAAGTGTTTATTTTGGCAAGCACCATTCGAAATAGAGCAAATTTGTCATGTGCTTATGTTATGTGATGAAGAATAAAATTATATACCCATGCAAAATTCCCTGTGAAATGTACATACGTCTCTTTATTGCAGAAAGGTTAAAGTGTTAAACTGAAATCTTTTTTGATTTCTATTTTCTTTTTTTTTCCTCTTTTTTTTTTTTTTCTTCTCTCTTTTGTTTAAACTCGTTATTGTTCCCGTCGTCGTCGTCGTCGTCGCCTCTCGTGTTTGTTGTTTCAGTTTTCGGTCTGTTTACCAGCATCAGGTTTAGCTTGTAGAAATTTTTAAAGATCATTATACATAGTTGTGTGGAAATGCTTGGCATGTATGGAGTTACATGATTTCCTCTAAAATCATACGTCCGTACAAAATCAAAGTGAGTAAAAAAAGAAAACAACAACAAAAGAGAAACAAATCAAACCGAGAGGATTAAAAACAAAATGTGTGTCCTGATATTGAACCGGAAAAAAAAAAACGTCATCAGCTTGGATCAGGTTTTAAAACCTGTTTACACTTTTTCCCGCCATGTTTGATGTCTCTTAATGCTTCTTCTTCTTTTTTCTTTTTTTTCGTTCTCGTCCTTGTTTTTCATCGGTTCTTTAATTATTGAAAAGGAGCATCTGGCTTCCTTTTAGTTGTACGAAACGAGAAGGAGAAACCCTCGAGTGTGTGCTGTCTGTTGATGCTCCGGGCGTCCAGGCCTCCGGTCGCCAGTCTTTTAGTTTTTTAACGCCGGTGAGTCCCTCGGGTCATTTACATCGGGACGCATCCTGCCTCATACGGTGGTGACCCTCATCACCACCTCCCGGTTGGCGGCGGCGCTGATCCGCGGGTCGTTGGGCCTCAGCTGGCTCAGGATGTGCAGGATGGTGTATCCACAGTGGTGGTTCAGAATAGTTCTTAGCCTCCTGCTCGGCCGCCCGCCGCCGCTGCTCGCCAGGCCGTGAGGGTTCCCTCGAGAGCCGCGAGCGCCCGCCTTGCCGCCCGAGCTCACCGGGTCGCCCAAGTCCTTCGATTTCTCATAGTTCAGTACTTTCCACTGCTGGTTGACGGCCTGCCATCGCTTGAAGATTCGATACACCGACGAGCCCTCGTGGATGATGAGGCCTGGAGGAAGAAGAAGAAGAGTTACAGTGATGCAGAGACAAGAACATCCATCATCTATACACTGCTTAGTCCTCACTAGGGGGGCTGGAGTCTATCCCAGCTGACTCAGGGTGAAGGCAGGTTCACCTGGACAGGTAACCAGTCTATCATAGGGCTACACTTAGAGACAGACAACCAAGCACACTCACATTCACACCTACGGACAATTTACAATCACCAATTAACCTCAACATGTTTCTGGACTGTGTGGGAGGAAGCTGGAGAACCCGGAGAGAACCCACGCTGCACGGGGAGAACATGGAGAAAGATCCCGGGTGTCCTCACTGGGATCTAGCTGTGAGGCGACAGTGCTAACCCGCCTTGTTGCCCAAAACTAGAACCCAGAGTGCTGACGCAGCTCTGGTCAGCATGTTCTGCTGTAATTATACACCAAGTATAGTTTATATAAGAACATCTTATTTTAAAAAGCCAGAATGTTTTAAGAACCCTGCTAAGGACCTTTAACATCTCTGAGCTTAAGTATCAATCAGCCAATCAGCTCAGCTCATCAAAAAAGTTCCTCCACTGTGTGATGAACAAGCTTGTTTTGAACAAGGTGATGAGTTTTCACGTCCGTACTGTTTATTGTATAGTTTTGGTAGCAGGTCAGAGAAACCCTCCGTCTCTGATGTTCACATGAAACTTTGTTCAGTGAATTACAGTTTTGCTCGACGCTCTGAGATGATTCATGAAAAAACTATAAATTCTTTATTATTTTTAAATGTATTTTTATCTTTTTATTATTTTTTACATTTTAAATGTATTTTTGTAATTATTTTATTTTCTAATTTATTTTTATTTGATTTTATTTATTTAATTGTTCTTCTTCTTTTTTTTTTTTTTTTTTTTTTAAATGTCACTTTAAAACCAATGGCACAACACATTCCTACTGCGCATATGTCCTTTGCTTTTAAGGTGACATTATAAAAAAATTAAAATAAATAAAATAAAATAAAAAATACTTTAAAAAATGACAAAACAATAAAATAAATTTAAAATTTAAAAATGAAAAAAGAAAAGAAAGCTATTTTATTTATTTGTCTTTATATTTCTACTTTTATTCGCCTTTTCTTTTATGGATTCATTTTTGATTAATATTGCTTTATATCGCCACATTATTTATTTATGATTTTATTTCTTCTTCTTTTTATTTCCACTTTTATTTTAGTTTCTCTTTTATTGATTTATTTTTATAATTTGGCGCTCTCACTACTCCATAGTAGAAACCCTGATATGTCAACAATATGAAAAAAGGAAAAAAGAAAAAGAATTTGGACTTAATCCAACATTCAGGTTTTCTTTATAGTCAGGCTTTTGATGAATTTGATGGATTTTATTCATTTACTACTCTTAGAACTAATTTAATTTATTGATTTTTATATTTATTGACTTATTGACATATTTTTAGTCTATTTAAGGTACACTTTATTACTTCATTTTTTATTTTCTTATTCTGTTTTTATTATTTTAGACTTCTCTTTTGTCCATTAATATTTTAATGACAGATATTTTATTCCTAATTTATTTCATTTTAATGTAGCTCTTATCGTATTTTAATTTTCCAGTATTTTATTTTATAAATCTATATATTTTTTATCCTTTTCTCTCAGAGAGTTTCTTCGTTCATGTGTTATTTCTGACAGCGTTTCCTCTCCGTCCTTCACGTGTGACTCGATGCTGTTTGTGTTGTTTTATTGCGTTTCCATTCCTTTCATCTACCGTCTAAAACAAACCCCGACCGACCGGCGCCTCACATGAAACGTTCTTCAGGTAGAACTTCTCCGTCTCGGCCTGCGGATCAGAACAGACAGTTGGCCGTAGCGGCGGCGCAGATATCTGCCGCCATCTGTTCTCAGTGTTGTCTTACACTCACAATTACATAAGAACAGCGAAGCTCCTAAAAAACACTCTTCTTAGTCTGCAACATCATCACAATTTGTTTGGCTTTTAGCGGAGCTGTTATCTCCTACCTATGCACCATCTGCCTGCTCCGCTTTCTCATTTCTGTGCGACCTTAAGAGCCAAACAGGAATGTGGACTGAATACATGTTTTTTTTTTTATTTTATCGCGGCGCTACTTTGTCCTTGCATAATGCCACCTATGTTTATTAATATTTTCGTCCTGCTCTGTTCGCTGCTCCTGTCGTTGCGTAACGCCGGCCGTCCATCATCCGAGCCTCCGATCTGCATCTTCTCACGTCTTCTGGGTTTAAACTGTGACTCTGTGTTTGAGTCACGTTCACGTGTCCGTGAAGTCGTACGTGAGCAGATCCTGACGCCGGCACGGGTGTTGTTTAAAATGTTTATCCACTGGAGCAAATATTCTGCTACATATTTAACCTGCTGGCTTGTTAAGTAGCTTTGTGATGGTTATTATGACAACAAATATGTTAAAAATCTGATTTAAAATCTCATTAAGATGTTTATTTCCCTCATATGTGGATATATATGCTTCATAAAGTCATAAATTCTAACCTCTGAAGTTGAAATAACTAAAAATAAAAGCATCTTAAGTTGTATTTTGTCCGCTCATCGTGTGTTTTTATAATTATAATCATAATATATCCAGTAATTAGTAGCTATAGTTGTTAAATGTGGAGCAAACGGCAAAATATTCACGTCTAAAGTGTGTTTATGTGGCAAATGAAGCAAATACTGTATCTCAAAATGACAGTTTTTACACGATTTACACACAAATACTGCAAAATATGTAAGAAATCCAACTGTAATAGAGTCCGTTTAGATTTGATTCAAGAGTAATTTGTATGTTTGGAAGCATTTTAGCCTAAAGTTTAATATTTGTTCTGTTAAACTGACTTCTCGTTCACAAAGTGCTTCACAGACGGGACGAAAACAAAGGAAAGAAGGAGATTCAGAAGGAATATTGACCAACAGAAGGCCGGTTAGTCCAAACCTGATGGAAGAGTTTCAAAATAAAAGACCAAAAAAAACAAAAACACCACCAGATAAAATAATAAAACATCAAAATAAGAGAAAGAAAAAGTGGAATAAAAGAAAGTAGCGGGTAAAACCATAAACACACGAGGCTGAAAATGATGATAGTAGCAAACAAGTAAAGGAAATAAAAGGTAAAAGAGAATAAATAATAAAAAATAATAAAAAAATATATATATATAAATAAAAAAATAAATAAAAGAACAAAATAAACCTAAAATAAATAAAGTAAAAAAAATTAAAAAGATAATAAAAAAATATAAATAAATAGAACAGAATAAAAAAATAAAAATAAAAATAAAAATAAATAGGGCAACACATGACGTATTGTTTTACCTTCATCATGCTTAACCATATATATATATATTTAATATAATTTGTATTTTACGCGACAGCATCACCACGTTTAACTTACCAAGTGTTAATATTTTATCCTCAAATTATGTTTGTTTTACTTTTCTAATTTTGCTCTTTAATATTTTTAACTTTTATTCTTTAGTTTCTTACTTGTGTGCCTCCATTTTTTATTATTTTCTTACTTTGCTGCCATCAGGCCTGAAAATTGATTAAAATTAATAATAATAAAAATATAAAGATAAACATTTGTGTAGGATGTGTCGTGTAAAAGCGAGCCAGTGATAAAGTTTAGATTAGATTATCATGACCACAGGTCTGTTAAAGATCGTCACGACGCTCGTCTATAATCCTGTCTGGATGTTTGTTCTCCTCCTGAACACACACATGTTGGTATTTATCGTTTATAAAACCCTCGTTTCTCCGTCTATCTGCATCCTAACACGTACCTATGCACACGATGTCCATGAAGCCGTACATGCCGTAGCAGATCTGGAAGAGCAGGTCCTGGCGCTGCCACTTGGCCGACGGGCTGAGCGAGGACCAGATGAGCCAGGAGATGCTGGCGATGAGGAACAGCGAGCCCAGGATGATGGCGGCGATCTGGACCTTCTCGATCACCGTCAGGGAGATGGCCTGCCACTGGGGGGAGGGGGAGGAGGAGGAGGAGGAGGAGGAGGAGGAGGAAGATGAGGAGGAAGATGAGGAGGAGGAGAGTGTCTTAGTTTGGGGGCTGAAGAAGTCAGAAAGTCGTTTATTCACTAAAGTAGCAGCGAGACACGATGAACGGCCTCATTTACAGGAAGTCGTCCTGCATCCAACATCCAGACTCTTGTTCTTACATTTCTGGCGACTTTTTACTCTTGTGTTCGTCTTTGCTGCTTTTTAAACTCTTTAATTTTTTTGCAACACAACTCAGATACAAGTCGTTTAGTCAACGTCAGACACCAACAACAAACATACTGTCAGATATTTATTTATTTTGGCTGTTGTGAGGAGAAAGAAACATCCAAAACCTCCTCTGGTCTAAACTTTGACTGTCAGCAGAGAAAAAATAAGAATTTCTTGCATCAAATATTTTATTTTAAACCACAATTAGCAGCTGTAGTTGTTTAATGTGAGTAAACAGTACGATGTTAGCGTCTAAAAAGAGTTTGATGTGGCGTCAGAGGGAAACGCTGTTTTTAAGTCAGTCATCAGCACACACATGCACACAAACACACACATGCACACAAACACACGCCGACACACACAACATGGCTTCCTTTCAATAGTTTTTAGAGGTTGGCTGCCTCTGAGGGCAGACGGACGGTGACGCAGAGGGAAAATGTGTCAGCACAATATGGCCAACCGTCCTCACACGGAGAGGTTCGCTCCAGAACAGGGTCCGTTTGCATGTCGTGTGTTTTATTGTGAAAGGTCGGCTGCTCTGTTGGTGCAGTAAAAATCAGCCGGCTTCATTCACTCGTGTGTCGTCGTAGTTTTACATATTCACATGTTTATGCAATGCCTTGAATCCCAGTCAGCCCCAGTGAGTCACAGTCATCCGGCCTGACACACCGTCAGTGGGTTTGTTGTTTTGTTTTATTGTGAAGCTGTGTTTGTGTGCGAATCGATCCGTTGTGTTACCTGCAGAGGGTTCTTGGTGCTGATGGCCAGAACCTGGTACTTGAAGTAGCAGAGTTCGCAGCTCCAGGATCCCCGCTCGCTGATCCAGCGGATGAGGCAGGGCTGGTGGGTGCAGCGCACTGATCCGTCGCAGCGGCAGGGGCTCAGCAGCTCGCCCTGCAGGACGCACAGGAAACAGACATGAGTGAGGGGATGTGGCTCATCCACAGAGCTGTGGGGAAAAGCTGAGGAGTTCATTAGTTCTGGGCGTCGACCTGCAGGAAAACCTGAGCGTCGATTGTTTAGATTTTTGTTTTTAAATGTAGAAATTTGCACCTTTTCTGCATCATTTTATGGAAAAATCAACATAAAGACTCTCTGCTCTACAGCTGTCATTAGAGGCTGTAAATGATGCTTTCTCTGCATCTCCAAGAGGGTGAATGTCCATCCATCCACTATCTATACACCTTAATCCTCACTAGGGTCATGGGGGGCTGGAGTCTATCCCAGCTGACTCAGGGTGAAGGCAGGTTCACCTGGACAGGTAACCAGTCTATCACAGGGCTACACTTAGAGACAGACAACCAAGCACACTCACATTCACACCTACGGACAATTTACAATCACCAATTAACCTCAACATGTTTCTGGACTGTGGGAGGAAGCCGGAGAACCCGGAGAGAACCCACGCTGCACGGGGAGAACATGGAGACTCCAGGTGTACTCACTGGGACGCGAACCGGCGACCTTCTAGCTGTGAGGCGACAGTGCTAACCACTGCTCAACCAGGGTGAAAGTCATGGTTCACTTTTAAAACTGTGAAATTGTTCATACATGCTTCAAACATGCTGCTGTGTGTCTGATGCATTTGCACCTTTATTATTCTATATTGTTTAGGTTGCACTTTATTTAATTATAATCATTTGTTTTTTAAATTTTTAAAATCTTTTTTTTTTTTTTTTAAATCATCTCAGGAGCACGACCCACATCTGGTTATCTTGTTGTCTGACCTCAATATAATGACAATAAAGCTACTAGTAAAGCAGAAAACCCTCCACAGACTCTCCAACATTTGTCCCATGTCATATAATGTAATATTTATGGTGTTGTGTATTGTTTTTTTTTCCTGATGCATTTATAGCAAACACTCAGTGAGCTTCTGAATCGCCCCGAGAGGATAAAAAAAGTTATTTGAATTGAATTTAATTGAGGAGTGTAACTCACATTTTCTTTAAACCACGAGCTAGATAAGATATATTTCTCTTACAATTTTATTGCATACGAAGCTACAGTAGAACCAGCAGCCAGGTAGCTTAGCTTAGCTCAGCTCAGCTTAGCTTAGCTTAGCTTAGACACTGGAAACAGGAGGAAAGCTGCTTACAGAACCTCCAGAGTTCATGAATTATCAGTACCTTCTGTAAAACAGTAAACTAATTGCTTTTATAATTCAGTCGTTCTGTGGAATAAATTAAACGCTGTTGATTAAAGGTACCAGAGTGGTACCAGTCCTCTCATCTGAGCAAAATGTTGAACTATTCCTTTAAACATTGTTCGCTAAAATAGACAAACCATATAGAATATAATACATCCTCCACCAAGTGAAGTGTTTAATATCTTATAATAGTTGTTTTTTTCACACCATCGAGACTCACATTAAACCAAAAATTGTTTAAGATAAACATATAAAGTTTCTTTTCCCCCCCAAAATAATCCAGACAAGAGTCATGAAAAGGTGAAGACATCATAGCAACTGATTTGTTCACTAAACCAACACTAAAGTGCCAAAATCAGTTCCTCCGACGGCCACTAGAGGCTCACTTCCAAAGTGAGTCCGTCCCCATAGAGCCGCATGTTAAAATGTCCAACTTTACAGCAGAAATAAACGTGTTTACGGCTTGAAACGAAAAACAGTTTTGGTCTCTGTAGCTCATTTTATAGTTCATGATGTCTGTCCATTGGATAAATATTTATATAACTCACTGCTTTAAGGCTCTAAGTTATCTGTTCTGTTATAGTGGAGGAAATAGCATGCTGTGAAAATACACAATTATAAGTTCTGCATTTTAAATGTTAAATAAAGGAGAGAAATGTAATCAACCCGTTAAAAGTAATAGTACTGATTACAGTAAAGTGTCCACTGTGACGGTTTATAATAATAAAAATGTTCAGGACAACAGTTAGTTTTATTAAGCAATAATCTGCACATTATTTTCTAAATTAATCAGTTCTTTCATTTGTAAGACAGACACCTTCACAGTGCCTGTTTTACCCGACCAGCCGTCCAAAACCTCAGAATTATTACTTTAAATAATTAAAACGGTTGAAAATAGAAAAAGTGCTCAAGTGGAGAAGCCTGAGTCACAAGATGTCTGACAAATGATTATTGAAGCAGCAGCCAATTAACGGACCGATTCTTTCAGCCAAACATAATACAAACTATAAAATAAAAGCTCTTTGTGGGATTCATTTGTAAAGTAACTAAAGCGTTTACATGAATGTAGTGAAGATATGAAGACACAAAAAGAACAGAACCTGGAACTTGTGCCTGATCCAGGATTTATTTTGCTTTACCTCCTGATCACATATCTCCTGAAGCAGCTCCTCCTTCATGTCAACCCCACGAACAAGACTTCACTGCTCAGTTAGAGGCTCACCGAGCGCCCAGCTTTTTTCTTTTTCCTCTTAATATTTGGCATTAGAAGCAGAAGTTAATCTCTTCTGCTCTAAAAATGGAAGTCTGATGTGACTCTATGCAAATTAAATGTTGTATTTCAGCGGGGCAGTCGATGAAGTGAAGCCTCCTGGAGAGCAGAAGCAGCTTCCCCCTAAAAGCCTCCGTGTATTTTTAACACGGAAATACTGGGCGAGAGTTTAAAAATGAAAAAGAAAAAGGACGTCTCTGGCTGTCCACAGACAATCAGACTAGTGTCCATTCAGCAGAAATAAAGATGCTAATACTGTGTCCCTGAGAGCCGGATGAAGCGGCGTTCGGACCGACTGTCTCTTCAGCGCCACAGCAGCACCTGAAGCCTGTTGGCATATTCGCCACATTAGGGATGACCGCATTCGGGCTGTCGCCGCCGCTCAGCATCAAACATCCATTTTGTCAGACGACTTAGCATCTGATGGCACGTTTTCACTTCTCCTCGTTTCCACAAGCCAGCAGAACCAGAGCTTTTTCTAAAACGGCGGCGTTGAGGGACGAATATCGGTGTGAATCATTAGCGAATCAATGAATGAGCGCAGCTTGAAGCGAGGCCCAGTTGGCGAAGGGGCATGTTAGCGCTCTGCAGCGACAGCAGGGAGCGCCGAGGCTTCAAGGGCAGGCAGGTGAAGGAGAGAGGAGGCGTGAAGCCCCGGGCACATCCACAAAAAGTCAGAGTTTAACTCCAACAACCTCTGACAAACTGCAGCATGTTTTTTTTTTTTTTTCATGTCAGCCTTTATGCTAAGCTATGCTAACCACCTCTTGTTGCTGCAGGGCTACATTTGACCCACAGACATTACA